AACAAAAAAAGACAAAAACAAAAATATCAGTCGATACACCAGCCCGCCAAGCCACATTCCAACCCCAATAAGAGTAATCCAGCACCGCCGTCCCATGGTGAACACCAGACTGCAGAATTTCTTCCCTCGTCAAGTTGCGTTCATTGCTTAGGTCCCTCCAGCATCACTGGTTACCCGAGTGAGTGAATAAAAGGACACCACGAGACTCGAACTGGGCTCCTGCTGAGGTGGAGACAGGAAGGTGGATGGGGATGACGGTGTACCTTCTGATGAAGACCCGTTACAGGTGGCGAGTTGCGGAATTAGTAGCTTTATGATGATGTGTTGTAGGGTGAATACGATAACGCAGCTAGGGAAGAGGAAAGGTGGTACAGTGGTGTTTCTGATAAGCTGATAATGGAAGTGGGGAAACTGGATTGCGGGGGCGCGGTGCTTGGGACGACGGGTTTGGGGGCTTATCTTTCCCCCTCTTTACCCACTTTATCTTGCGTGGCTGCCAACATTACATACACACACTCAGATTTTCATACACGCTGTGTATCGTAATTCTTCAACATGCTGAAAATTTCAATGCAAAACTATCAAATGAGGGGTTTAACCAAAAGACCAGATCAGACCAGACCAGATGGATACAATGCACATCGACAAGATAAAATCACGTAGGAGCAATGACGCGAGAAACCCAATGAAGCACAATGACAGAGACAAAAAACTCCCTTCGCCATGCATAAAAACAATAAACAGACAAACAGGGAATGGATAAGGAAAACGAGATGTGTCTAGGGTGTTATACAGCAATGCCCTTTCGCTTCCAACCACCAGGGCCTCTCCATGCCCAGAGGAAAAGGCCCATAGCGAACCAAACACTAATAGTCATGGCCCAGAAGGTGGGCGCATAGCATGCCTTGCCATGGCAAAGAACGTCTTCTGGGTCTTTTTCAACACCAGCCTCGGCACTGTTTGCGGCTTTCTGGTACACGGTAGCGTATACGGCGCCCCAGAGGGTCGCGCCTGCAGCAGGCGTCATGGCCAGAATGCCCCAATTAGTTCCAAAGTTCTCGACGCCCCAGACGACAGAAACAACAATGGGAGTGAGGGAAAACACGGCGCCATAGCCCGCACCGATGAGGGCGGAAACAACCGCGAAGCGAGAGGCGTGGTTCTGGACCCAACCAGTTGCAAGCAGGAGCTGTCCGAGGGAGAGGAGGAAAGCGAATGCTACAAGGAAAGTGATGCGAGACACGGTGAACTTTCGGGGCTGCTCAGGAGGCGGCAGGGATGACACAGAGTTTGCGACTGACTCTGGGTTGCGGCGATGCTGGTGCGACTGTGCGACAGGAGCAAGGATGTCAGAGAGTGTGCCGGTAGCCAAGCGAGCGAGGGTCGAGGTAATGGCGACAATCGACACGTGGGTAGCTGGTGAGGTATTGGTTGCGACGTTAGCAGGTGTGAGTGTCTCGATAATGGTGCCTAGGTTGTTGATGAAGGCCTCACCGGGTCCAGTCACGAGGAAGAAGCCAGCTGCCAGCCACCACATGGTCGGGTCCATGATGAAAAGACGCGTTTCTTCGTTTAGAAGCCACGTCTTCTTGCGGGCCTCCTCTTCTGCCTTTGCTTTCAGACGCTCGGCTTCAGACTGTAGGAAGTCAAAGGTCGAGTCAGACAGGTCCTGCGTTTCCATGGTGCCGTAGCCATGGTGCTGTGCAGCTTGGTGAAAGAAGCCATCACGCTGTAGAAGACCCGATCTCTCGAGCTCGTCAACAGCCTCGTCGATCATCTCTTCCTCGTCGACGATGCGTAGAGCGAAGAAGCCGACAGTTCCGACACAAAGGAGCAGGATGCCCAAGAAAAGGAAGAAGCGGAAGACGTCGACATCTCCCCTGGTTCCATCGGCGTTCTTCTCGTACAACAAGCGGCTTCCAACCTGGCTTTGCCACATGCCGCTCAGTCCAAATGAGGCAATGGGTACCGCCAAAGCCACACCTTTGCTATTACCACGGCCAAAGTTCTTTGCGCATGTCGTGACGGCAGATAGGTACATGCAACTCGTGCCCATGCCGACAAAGGCAAAGGCCAGGATCATGACACCAAAGGGCCATCCATGACCGCCAGCTGCAGGCGGCGGGCCGCTCCGGTATGCAAATGCAGCCAGAAAGTAGCCAGCGCCAAAGAGGACACCCGCGAGACCGGCGGGAACGCCAGGGCCCAGACGATCGCAGAGGTATCCAAAGATGGGGACGAGGAGGTACAGGCCGAGCTCGGCCCCAATGGAGACGGCGTTGACCTGAACTTGGGTGTAATGCAGCTTGGACTGGAACAAATGTCCATAGAGAGAGAAGGCGGTGATGCTGCCGGCGCAGAGGCAGATGACGATGGCCCAGACAAAGCTGAGCCAGCGAAGTACGGCGCGCTGCATCTTGACGCGGTCTTGTTCGTAGATGCCCTCGGCAACCTGTTCAAAGAAACTACCGGCGTAGCTGGTGCCCTGGCTGCGTCGTTGTGACTCGGTGTCGCTGTCGGGGGCTAGGAGAGGGCGACGCGCGGGGTTTGAAGGATAGTCGAGCTTGTCGATGGTGGTGATGCCATTACCGCTATGCCGCTTGGAGGTCGGGGGTGACATGGGGGACGCGCGGTACGTGTGACGGGGTAGCGTATGGCGTGGATCGCAGTGGCATGGCCTCGCCCCGGCGGGAATATATGGCGAGCGCCCTTTGTTGGGGGCCTCTGGCAAAGGTATAGATAGTGCACAAAGGGCAGCCGGCCGTGTTCCGCGAGACCAGCGGTCAGTCGGCGGCACTTGGACTGCACGTTGGTGTTGTCGCGCGAGGTAGCTTGCACGCCATACCGCCCAGGGAGTGACGCTGCAGCCAAACGACCGGGGCCGCTAGCCGTGGGACCGGGGGGTGGCAGCAATTCGCAATTCCAGTGCAAAGAAATACCCTCCCAGCAGAGCAACCAGCAAACTCCACGTCGCCCACCACCACCCGCCCCCCATGGCGCCCCAGCACGCCCTCGTCAGCTTCTCCCCCGTGGAGCTGTTCTTTTTGCGCAGGGCCCTGACACAGACGCCCCCCATCCGCCGCGATGTCACCAAAGGGCCCCGCGACTTTCGCTCCATGCGCGCAGAGTATGACGTCTTGCCCACTGCAAACGGAAGTGCGCGCATTGCCCTCGAGGACGGCACAGAGGCCCTTGCCGGCGTCAAGGCCGAGGTGGAAAAGACGAGCCAGCTGCCGACCCTGGGCGAGCCAGAAGATGTAGACATGGGCGACGGCGCCGACGAGAACACGGCCAAGGGCCAGAATGCGTGGGTCGACATAACCGTCGAGATACCGGGCTTCCGAGAGGACGATGCCCTGCCCGTATTCCTCGCTTCAATGCTCTCTGAGAGCCTGCTTGCGAGTGGCGAGCTCAAAGACCGGCTCTACATCAACAGGCGCTTTCACTGGAAGCTCTACATCGACGTAAGGAGCCATACACACCCCATGACCCCACCACAAACTTTCCCTCTGACACATGCCAGATCCTCATGCTCTCGCCGCCCCTCTCCTACCCGCTTGCCATGCTTTCCATGACATCCCACCTTGCCCTTCTTACCACACGCCTCCCCGCGCTCAAGTCGGAAAAGGACGAGGATCCGCTCTTTGACGACGACTGGGACGCAGCCGTTCCCCTGTACCCCAAGCAGGCAGGAACAAACAAGAATTCGCCTCAACTAGGGAAGCCACCCGTCATCGTACTAGCCATGGCCGTTGGCGCAAACATCATCTTCGACCCGGCCCCGGAGGAGCTAGCAGTCGCAGACGCTGTCCTTGCCGTTGCATGCACAAATTCGACAAACTCCGCTACGGGTGCGCGCATCGTCTCGATACGCACCATTGACCCTCCGTCCCATCTTACACCACCAGGTGTGCCCAACTCGATGAACACTGCCACTGGCGGTACTGCTCCCACGTCGACTGCCGACGCCCTTACGCAGCGCGAGCTGCTGGCGACATCAGGCGTATGGACACCACCTCGGGGTGGCATGAAGAGAAGTTTGATTGCGCAGGTGACCAAGATGGTAGTAGAGAATGGCGGGGTTGCTGAAGAGGTCATTGGCGCATTGGCAGCCATTGAAGTTGGCTGAAGAGAGTCGAGTGAACATTGCGCACAAAAACGCCCCACCAACACCTTGGGTGGGGATGATCTCTCAACGACTTCATACCAGCAACAAGACCATGCGTCTGGAAACCAGACTAGGCATGGACACAGCAAGATGTTCCAAAAGTCCGACATCAAGTTAGTTTCAAGCTGGGCAGGCTTTTTACGCCGCTCGACAATTGCTCGGCCAAGCCAAGCCATCCTTGTTACCAGCACAAGGCATTCGCTATGGCCTTAGTCTCGAGCTGCTATAGTCAGACACGTGTAAATCAGTAGAACCATAGCATATCACCCCGACGGAATTAATCTTGTAACATACGCGAAGACGGAACGTTGGTGTGTTTTCAATGGACAACATCGGCAAAATAAGTGGCACGTTACCCTGGTAGCGTAGCAGAAGAACAAAGCGTCAACCTCACTTTGTGTCATGCATCACAGAAAACCAAGCAAACATGCTGGTCTCCAAAGTGACCCGACTTTGCTTTTCCGGCATCCCCATGCAGTCCGCAGCGCATCAGCCCCTTTGGGCTAGTGTATATGCCATGTCAGCTGCATCCACGTCAATGATTGTTTTCTGAAAGCTTCCATATACACCGACTTCGATACAGTAAACACTCTCTTTTTGGTACGCGTCGACTACCCGTAGGCGCAGAAACATCCCGTTCTCTATACGCAAACAAAGCTCGTCGCACAAACCGGCGCATCCCCACCAGCATCCCGAGAGCGGTACCAGTGACGACATTTCGTGGCTTGGCTGCCTTGTAAGACTAGCCCTTTGAACGACACAACATCCCGAAGCACCATCATTTGAACCCGAACGATTTGGACGGGCCAAAGCAAGCGCCAACCAAGCAATCATGATGGACCTGCAGCACCAGTCCCACATTTCAGCCTTCAGTCGCTTCTCCGATATGCTCAAAGACACGACTACAGGCCGGCGTAAGCCGAATGCCTCGGGACATTCTGTTCGCAACCCCTCCATGACTGGCCTGCCCTCAGACCCCATAGCAATGTTCACGCGATCTCGCGGCGATTCCGATCCTTCGCGAGATATCCGTAGGAGCAGCGTGGGCAACTACGCCGATCGCATGCGCCAACTCTTCCACCCATCCTCACACCACACGCACCCCCACAAACGCGGCATCAGCGACCTCCCCGCCGAAGTCCTGCAGCACATATTCTTCTACCTCGAGTTCTGGGAGCTCGTCCGATGCCAGCGCGTCTCCAAGTCATGGCGCGCTCTGGTCCCAGGCGACTCACCATTGCTGGCAGAAATGCTGTACCTCAAGCCCTCGCGCAGCCTGCAAATCTACAACCTCGTCCCGACGACGTTTGAATTCGAGGTTCATGTCATGCCACAAAGCGTCGAGTCAGGAGCCCAGCCGCTTGGCACTCGCATTTCAAAAGGCGTCCGCAACGAGATCTCCCTCTCGAGACGCTGTATAGGTCTCATCCGGACGAGTCAGGAAATCGTGTTTCATCCTCTGATCATGGATTTCAACCACTGGATTACGCGCGAGGGTGTTGCCGGCAATACGCACGGGTCTTGGAGGGATATGCTGGTTTCAATGCCCCCGTTGACGGAGCTGACACTGCGCGATGGCGGCCAAAAGAGGGGTGCTGTCAAGGTGCTTAACGTCAAGGGTCATGACGACGGGGTTAAGCTGGGTCAGCTGTTTGATGTTGTACACGATTGGATGCAGAGGAGGATATGAGGAAATGCATGAGGCGTTTGGGTTATTATTACCATGATTTCATTTGGGCGCATTCTTTTTTTTTTGAAAAGGACACCGGCTGTCCTGGCTTACCTTCTTCTTCTCACTTGACTTCTGGTAATCAAACTGTAAATGATAGAATTAGCGTACGAGTTTGGAAAACTCGACATGGGGGCGTCTGGATAATAGGTATGTATATACATGAACATAGATAAGGCATATGGTGAGGTACATAGATAATACAAGATAAAATAAACTTGAATAGTTTTGAGAAATGATGGGAGCGCAAATCCCATTTCGTCCACGCACACACACACACGAATTGCAACGCTGAACATATGTTTATACTACTACTATTCTACTAGGGTATCTACGCTTCTCGATGCTGTGAAACCAGCGCTGTGCATACAAATCAAATAAATAAAAAAGTTAAACCTTTAATCGCTGCACCAACTTCCTAATCTGCTCTTTAACTTCATCACAGCTCAAACGCTGTTCTTCGTCCCCATTTATCATACCACTAATCAAAGTCTGAACATCCTCACCAACATCCCCATGATTTTGCATAAAATCTCCGGGGAAAAGACCTCGACGTAACTCCGTCAAGGCAGCTATACGTTCCATCCTCGTGCTAAACTTGTGCAGCATCTCAAACGCCACCACACCCAGCGCGAAGACATCGAGTTTCTCGTTGACACCGCTACTCGCTGACGGTCGATAGAACTCGGTGCCTACTGGCTTCGAAGATGTATCGGAAACCGTGCAACTCCCGCTCAAGGCGGCTACCAGGCCAAAGTCGCCGATGCGGGGTGTCATATGCAGGTGATCGCGTTGGGGACACGGTTTGCAGCTTGACATGTCGATGGAACCGTATGGTGGGTGACGCGCAGTGGAAAGTGAGAGGAAGACGTTTGCGGGTTTGAGGTCGCGGTGGACGACGCCCTGAGCATGTAGGTATTCTACTCCTGCCACGATGTTGTTGAGTAGCTCGAGTGATACGCAGGAATGGAAACAATGTTGGCCTGTTTTCTGCCCAATGGACCCGGACTGGTCGGACGAGAGGAATGAAGCTAGGTTGGTTTCGCAGAGACTCATTTGTACGTTGAGCATGAGAATTGGTCCGAGAGTTCGGTTCTGCATAAGGTGGTGGGGCACGTCGCTGTTCGAAATCATGCTGTCTGACATTTCGGAAATTGTTTCGTGGGTGCACGGCATGTGCGATCTGGGAATGTTCTCAATATCATCATCTTCCTCTTCGTCTGCGTCCTCAACAGCGCTCATCCGAGACTTTGTTGATGAGATTGTTGCTATCGTCATCTGACTCGCCTGGCTGCCACGTCGGGTTTTGTGTTTGGTCCGTGTAAAGGTTTCCTTAATAGAAATACTGGCACCTTCACTCTGAGGCTCAGGTGTTCCTTCTCTGGGCTCGCTAAACTCAAAGACAATACCAGCGCTGTTGCTGTTCTCGGTTCTAATGGGAGAGTCATCGAAGCTTAGGCTATCCAGCCTAGAATGAATGTCGTTGGTTCCTCCAGAGAAGGATGGAAAGGCAGCTCGGTCCTCTAAAAGACGGTCGTCTCGAAGCATCGGGATGTCTGGGACGCCGGTGGTTTCAGTGGGTGATGTAGTAAACTCGAGCCAGGCGTTATGGTACCGAATGATGTTGTTGTGATCAAATCGAGCGAGCGAACGAACTTCTTCAAGCATGCTTTCCAACTCTTCTGGTCCATGCTCTTGTATTCTTGCAACCTTTGCAGGGCTCACTGGAATCCTCTTGACTGCATAGAATGACCCATCGAGTTTATGTTTGGCTTTGAAAACTTTGCCATATCCTCCTTTACCAACAATCTCCAACTCGGAAAACTCCCGAATATATCGATCAGTCTGCAGATGAGGATAGCCCCGAAGTTGAAGTTGAACTGGACCTGGTATGCCAGAGAGAACATCGAAACCTAGGGATGGTTGTTGAGGTAGATGCTGGGGCAGCCCATTACCTGGTAGTGCAACCAGAGCTTGTGAAGCTAGTTCGGGGATGACAGAGAGCTTGTTTAGATTGCTTCGGGTAAGCCGATTGATTCCTTCGTTTGCCGTGGTCCGATGGCTTTGCATTTCATCGCTTGCGTAAGCATCGTCGACGTTATTGGAAATCTGGCGGGCAATTTCTTTGTAGGAGGCTCTACCCAATCGCTGGACTTCAGGGTCCGACGGGTCTTTGCCTAGCTGGGCTGCAACCTCGCGAATGGTTCGTTCCTCCAACAACGAATGTAACAAAAGATCGCGAACGTTCTGGGTTGAGCTTTGCCGTGGATCTAGAGGAGGTCGATGGGGTTGGATGGGCTGTCCTGAGGAAGCGGAATCTAGAGTGTTGATCCTTGACAGGACGCTGTCCTGCTTCAGCTGATTCTCTTCTTCATATTCGCTTTCTTCATCAGACGACTCCGAGCTGGACGATGAGTCGCCTGGCCTTCGGAACATGGACATGGCAGATGGAAACGGCAGTAGTTTGGAGTCAACAACGGTAACGCAGCCTAGATGCTGCTGGGCAGGGGCCTAGGCGCTGATAACTAGCTTTGAATCATTCAACGATTCCTAGACGAAAGGAGGTAAATGCAATTGTGAGGTAGTCACGCTCGCAGCTATGCGTTGTGCTGTGAAGCTGTAGCGTCGAGCTTATACCAACTCGGTGCCAGCAGCTGAGCACGCAAAACCTCCATGAGTACACGCTGTCTAGGCAAACATCGATTGTGGTAGAACTGGGTGGAAGTGCAACGTGTTAATTTGAGGGCGCAGAGCACAGTACAAGAAGTGCCAGCAGCTAGATTGGAAGGGCGCACAGGCGAGAGTGGGTCTAGCGGAAATCGGAAACGCGTCATAGCACGTGGCCAGGTGGGAGCAAGCCATTCACCTTCGCCCGTATGCGCGCAAAGGGCTTGAAGCACTCACAGAGTGAAGTACTTCCCCAAAGGCATTGATCTGGTGCTGCTTTTCCGGGTAGAGACTCTCATAATGTCGCATTCAACTACATCGATCAATATAAACCCATACCTTTTGCCAATATCCAGCTGATCCGCCGCCTACACCAGCACCATGCCGCGTCGACTTCCATGGGCGAAGAAAGACACAGCAGGAGCAAAGACAACAACCCCATATGCAGATCTTGTATCACGCATATCTGATAATGACGATGAGTTCTTGGAAGACGTGATAGCGGCCAGCAGTAGTAAAGGAAATCAACAAGCCAGCGAGTCAGATGATGATCTCCCCAATCTACCAGCAGAACCGTCAACACCACACACCAAATCCAGAACAAAAGATGCATGGAGAAAGGGACGTGAAGTTTCGTCATCACCTCCACCTCTAGCGGGAGATCTCGAGCAACCACGTGTTGAATATATGCACGGCGCAATCTCCAAATTCGACTTACGCGACGATGAATGGATGATGGTTGAAGACGAATTTCTCCAGACGGCAAAGCTATTCACTCGACACTTGCACATTGCAGAATACGAGAAACTCAAGGAGACGATTGAGGAAAAGAAAAAAGGTGCTGATGTAGCGAGGCCAGTAGTTCCCAACGCGAAGATGTCTGATGTTGGGGTCATGAAAGATAGAGCCAAAGCTCAAGAGCAGAAGCAAAAGAGAGCTCTTCAAGCCGTTTTTGCGTCTCAAGACGACGATGGGGCAGAAGAACAATGGGCTTCGCTTTCAACCCACACGTCACGGGTTCCAACAACAACACCATCATATGCCGCCTCCAAAAGAACTATAGGAACCTCAGCAAAGCAGCAACCAGTGGCACGCACAACATCAGACAGCGATAGCGAAGATCTCGATACTCTACGGCCCCCAGCAAAGCCACCCCTCAAAGCCACCCCTTCGGCCCCATCAAAAATAAGCAGCACCCCAAGTCGACTGATCGGTGCCTCGTCTCTCAATCTCACTACCAAATCTTCACCCCCTACCTTCACCAAACCCGCCCCGCCCCCACCCCCAGCAAAACCCCGCTCAAGACCCCTTCGCCTCGCAAAACCCTTCGACATACTCGACGACTGGACACCACCCAAATCGCAACCCCCACCCATTCCGTCTTCCAAACCAACTACAAGCAAACCCTCTCACTCCTTTGATTCAACCAAAACAGTGAAACATAGCCTGCATACGCGATCAGCGAGTTCAGCGGCGGAAATGGGGGCGCAGCATGTGAGACATGAGGGCGGTGCTGGGGGTAGAGATGTTGTGGAGAGGTTGGTGAAGCGTAAGGTTGAGCGAGAGAGGAAGGAAATGGAGGGTCAGGAGGGGAAGAAGAAGAGGAGGAGGAGGAGGAGGAGGACGGGGGATGTGGATGATATTCCTACGTTTTTGTTTTGAGGGCTTAGGGTTTGTTGGCGATTTTGCATGTTTGTTTGTGATGGAAGAGCTTGGTAAAGTAAATGGGACCAGGTGAACAAGGATATATAGTTGTAAAAATCCATTATTTCCAACGTTGTTCCCTTGTAAATCTAACTAGACGGTATAGTCGGATTCTTAACTCATCATCTACATGCGAGCATGGTGCCCTGTCTAAAAGAGTGAACAAAGGGGTTTTTTCTTTACAAAAAAACAACAACAGCACAACCACTTTCTTTCCCCCCAGCCAAATCTTCCACACATCCACACTTATCCAAAAATCTTGTCCAAGAAGCGATTGAACGGGTTCGTCTCTGGCTTCTCCACAAAATTACGATGATACTCCTCAATCTCCGCTACTCCTGAGATAAGATCCGCCTTGTCGGACGTAACCCACTTCGTCTTCTTGAGGATCTTCCATCCGATGACGAGAACGGGGAAGATAAAGACCCTTTGGACTTATTAGCGATTTTCAATTATAGCAGAAAGAGAACTTACATCAGGTACGAAAACAAGAACGAAGGCACATCCCACATGCCCTTCAAAAACACCGTATAACCGCCCACAAACGTCATGATAAACGTGCACACAAGACCATACCACGCCGCATACGGCTGTAGAATACCCTTGTACGGCAGCGTATCGCGATCGAGCCCTTGTACATGGCACGCCTTGTAGAAGCGCAGGAACGTAAAGCACATGACACTGAAGTTGATAAGCTGGGACGCCGTGACCAAGCTAACGAACCAGTTCAGTACAACAGCCGAGTTCTCACTCAGCTGAAGGAACGAAAGCAGTGAGATAAGGAGAACGATCAAGACGCAGTAGAAGGGTACACCTTGCTTTGTGCATTTGGTCAGAATCTTGGGTGCTTTGCCTTCGAGTGCGAGACCAAAGAGGGAGCGCGAGGCGCAGTAGACGTAGGAGTTTCCTGCGGAAAAGGCGGAGGCGAGGACACCGGCGTTGACAACGTGGGGGAGGCCTTCTATGCGGAGTCTGTTCATGGCGATGACGTAGGGCGAGGCTGCGGCACCGGGTTTGCCCAGTTTGAAGGCGTTGATGAGTTCCGGGTCGTTATACGGCACGTTTATGCCTACGGCGAGGGAGCCGAGCACGAAGAAGGTGGTTAGGCGGTAGAAGACGGCGTTGTAGGCGCGCGGCATGACTTTGCGGGGGTTTTCGGTTTCGCCGGCGGCCATGGAGACGTAGTCGGGTCCTGCGATAGTGAAGGAGGCTTGGATTAGGCATTGGAGGAAACCGAGGAATCTGCCTAGATCGCCGCCGTAGTAGAGCTCTGTGAAACTTCCTGGGTTCTTCCAGTAGCGGAAGCCGTAGCGGTCTTTTTGCGGGTTACCGCCCAACATGGAGATGAAGGTGAAAATGAGGAGACCGATGATAAGTAGGACTTTTGGGATTAGCAAATTGTTCTGATTATTTCTTTGAGAAATGCTCACCTTTTCCAACTGCGGCGTAGAACTCGGTTTCTCCGTACCATTTTACAGCCATCATGTTGATGACACTAGTGCTTGGTTAGCCCTGGTTCTATAACGAATTTCATGGGGTATCCTAGAGCGGATGGGCTTGTTTGATGTGACTTGAGACCTAGCGTATAGCCTGGGAATGATTGACCAAAAAACACAAAGGAATGTGTATGGTCTGCGGTTCACAGTCTAGCACAAAAGGCTCCATGGTGTCCCATGTCGAATATCGGGTGGTAAATGGGTCTACGTACGCATAGAGCACAAGAACGATTGCGATAATGGCACCAGTGGGCACGGCGTCGCTCCAAAAGCCGATAATGACGTTACAAGCCACAATTTCAAAGGGCACGAGGGCTGCTTCGAAGACGAAGAAATTCCATCCAGCTGCAAAGCCAAAAGCGTCGTCCACGTAGCGTCCAGCAAAGCGAATGAAGGGCGAAGATATTGGGAGGTAAGTAACCATTTCGGCAATGCCTATTGAGGCGCATTAGCTGGGGGGGCTCTTCACGACGGTACAAGCGATGGGATAAGTGGCTCTGGGCGGGTCGAAAAGCGCTTGGGCATTGTCGCAATGGGCACAGGTTATTTGGAATTGGGGAATTGAGAGTCTCACTAAGCGTCACAGCCAAAATGACGGTACACCTGTTCAGAGTCAGCTCTGGATCGGATTGTAGCTAGAGCGTACCATTGGGCACCTGCGCGAGGAATCTTGCGCGAAACTCACCACAACGAAAATGCGATGAACAAGGACGCAGGCCCTCCATTCATGAGGCCGCGACCAATTTGGACATAGAGGGCAGTGCCAATGGTTCCACCGATGCCTATGAGTTGAATGTGTCTGCTTTTGAGCCTGCGATGGGTGTCGTCGCTAACGGCTCTCACTGATTCCATGCTACTGGGGCGATGATGGTAGTTGGTGTTCTCTTCATCGACATGGTAGCCCTGCTTCTTCGGCTCGTACGAAGCGCCAGGCTCAAAGTCCCTGCCGGTAGAAGTCATATCTGCTGGAAGCCAAAGACTTGACCTCGGGCTCTCAGAGTATAGTTTTGAGGAGTAGGGCGAAAAATTGCACGACAAAGTCCATGGACCGTTAGTCGGGGTCGGTGTCGGTTGGTGGACAAACTGCTAGGCTGGCGAGGGTCAAGAGACGATGAACGGGGAGCGAACGATACAAGTACATGTGCCGTGCTAATAAATCTTTCAGTAATCCTAGCGTGAGCAGGCAGCCCTGCATGTGTTCCACCGCGGTGAAGGCAACGGATTGCACTAGTAATTCTTGGCTCTCCTGGGCGTCCACAGGTATACGTCTGTCTCCCAACTTGGGGGCAGCAAAGGAACGAATCGCCATTGAGCTCGGTGGTGGTGGTGGCTGGCGCAGCAAGGCTGGCGCAGGCTTTTTTTCCAAATCACACAGCCCTCTGGCAGACGCACAAAGGCTCAGGTGTGGATGGGATCACGCATCCCGTGTTTGGTGTCGTGTGCCCTGTTTGTGGGTGGAGAAGATGCGATAACTGCTGTTTGTGGGCAGGGGTGTGGGTATGGAGCCGAGTGTACTTGCCTAGTTGGAGAATGCGGAGAAGCACCGGCGCGCAAGACGGAGGAGCTCGACACGGCTTTTCCCTTGGGCAGTATGGTGCAATGTCACCCTCTTGCCGTGTCTTGTTTCCTATCGGTCTCCCCGATATACTTGCGCCAGCCTCTAGAACCACAACTACTCTGCCCCTCATGTGCATCTTGGCTAACAAAGCTTCTCCAATAGCTGTCCGAGCAATTCAATCCTAGTGGTTAAAGCCAACTTGGCATCACTGGGCTGAGCAATTGGATTCTAGGCTTACTTCCCATCTTACTGTTCTCCACCGTCTCTCCAAGGCTTATCTGCACTTTGCCTGAACGCCTGAACGCAGGTGGAGGCCACTCTCGAGCCCGGCACTCGGCATACTTGACTGCTTTACCGAAGCATACGAAGAATGGCGCCATGAGAGCGGGTCTGCCATCAGACAAAAGAGCGCCTCGAGATAACGCTCTAGTGTCGGCTTGTCAGCCTCGAGATGTACTAAGAGCAGTTTTGTGCCCCCACAAACTGACATGGGGATCGTCGCCAGTTGACCGGTGTCTGGTCCGTACAAATAACGCACCCCACGTTTTTGCTCAGATTTGGCGCAGATTTCCTGTTCATGCACACCCAAGACCATGGCTCCGCCGAGCACTAAACCGCCATAATTGCCGTGCATTTACTTTGGCCACACAGAGACGCTGCGCAAAACTTCCACATCTCAATCAGTCCAAACAAGGAACCAGCCGTTTGCAATATACACTTGTCTTCAGCATCCACCTGGGACGAGTACCAAGCTAAATACTATACAAATAGAAATTACAGCCTCTCAATCGACAGAATTACAACAGCCTGCACCTCGTCTCACAGCTCAACTCAACTTTTCATTTACCCACTGCCCGCTATAGCGAGTCTCTGCCAACGGGCCTTCGCTTGACCGACGGGCTGTTGGATATTTCAGGCAAGTCGGCCGTGATGTTCTTCATCGTCATAAAATCATCTTCGCTTGTACCGTCCACTTGTCGCTGCAGTTTGTCGATGGTCGTCTGCTCTCCCAGCCAGCGCTTACCAGTCTTGTGGTCGAAGTGAACTGGCTGTACTATTCCGTCGTAACTCGACATATCTTCCAGCGTCGGTGGGTATATAATGGTGGTTTCTCTGCGCTCGAAGCCCTCGTCTGTCATGTATGGTTTTCCCTCGATGACTTGCGGCTCGGTGCGCCATTGGAATGGAGCTTCTGGAAGCACGGGTTCCTTTTGCACAATATCCCACCACCTGTTTTTGCCTGTACGAGAGGGCAACTCATCAGCAGAAATCTCAATCAGGCCCTCTCCGTCGGGATTGGGGATAAAGTGACGAGGTGGGAGAACCTCAGTCTGCATCACAGGCTGCAGTCGGTGGTAGTAGGTATAGTTGTGAATCTCTCGATAGATTTTGTGCTGGACAATCTCATGCTCGTATGGCTTGACAACCTCGTGTGTGACCGCTGTTGTAGTTTTTGTCAGATGACCTGGTGTATATTGTGTTTGGGGACGTTGCCCAACGGCAAGACAAGTCTGACTTACCAGGTGCCCACGATGTCTCTCTGTCTGTTTCAACTGTGTCGTTTAAATCAACGATGCCATTGAGCATCGATTTCTGCTTGACCTGCCACTCCTCATCACTGCCGTACACACCGTGCTTATCGCTCGTAGAATCGAACCCCGCAGGCTTGACAGCCATATCCTGGTGGATGTGGTGTTGTCTTCCCAAGCTCTGCGATGGCCGTGCAAGGTCTTCTGGATCTTGCGGTTGCGCTCCCCCTACAATGCTGCCATTGGTGGTGACGGCCCTGCCGACCAGTTTGTCTCGAGCATCGCCGTGGTTGTAGCTGGTGGAACCTGCACACAAAGTTAGTTCTCTTATCTGTTATAGTATTTCCACAGCATTGAGCATACTTGGTGTTGGTGGGAGGGGCTTTGATAGACCACTGTGAGGCGATACTGAGTGGCCGGTATTGGTACCTGCCACTATCGACTGTTTGCTGGGAGCAAGTGCAGGGGGAATGAGTGTGTTTTCATCAGAGGCAGACTTGACGAGGTTGGTGTTGTCAGACTGGGTATTATGCACAGATTCAAGCGGTAGGGTAGCTGAGTGAGTAGCTACGCCGTTTGTATGAGTGGTCTTGGGGTGTTGAGCATATTCTGCTCGAGGAGAGGCGCTCTGAGAAGCTGAAGATTTCCGTCGATGGCTGTGATGGGGAGAGCTAGGAAGCTGTTCAGCACGTGGACTAGCCCCTTCAGACTGCTCATATGAGGCACGGGGCGATTGCGTTGGTGTTGAGCCCTTCCTTCTGTGGAGTACGGCCTTGATCTTTTCCTTCATGTTGACTGCAAGGTGAAGTGGAAGCGATGTGTGTAGTTGGCTAGATGGACTGAACATGTGCTGGTGACAGTGGGGTGGCAGATTCTAGGCCTTGTATCACTATTTCTTCATGTGGCAGTGGCTGGAATGTGGCTGAATGACGTATCCATCACGCCTGCCGAAGGTTCAAAGCACTGCACAACTCAGCACACAGCAGCGCTTTAGAAGGCCGCTCTCTACACCTACAGCAACGATAGCGATAGTCGGAAAGCATACGACAGGCAAAGGCTTTGCTGGCTCGAATGGGAAATGTCAATCACCCACCCCTTTTGTTGCAGTTTGCCATGTCGAGCCAGATTTGCATCTTCGATGGGGCTCACTTTGTCCTCGCCGATTAACCTGGGTGAGAGATAGCATAGAGTGGCGTCTACAAATGACGTAGGCAGCCTCTTTTGTAGAGGTACGTGTCTCTATTCTACAAGTGATGGCTGCTTCCGCGGTGTAGATGGACAGATGGATCCATACACGGTGCTTGCACAGACCCAACAGATGGAACTATAATTGCAGAAGGGGCATGTCATGGTGGAGATCATGGCGGCATGACGACAACGACGGTAAGTGTGGTCGTGGGCGGCTCTCTCCCCCAGTTGCAGTTGATCAGCACGGCACAGAGGGCGATCATCTTAGCCATGGGCTTAGCAGTTGGAGCCACGCCCCCGGGACTTCCGAAACAGGCGCAGAGACAGCCGTATGCGTACAGGGACAGGCGGTCTTGGGCGGGTAGCTCAACAAAGAAATGGCATCATGACGCAGTTTGCAACAGGCGGCGGCGGAGGCGCGTATGCTTGAATACGTCGTGGGCAGCTGTCGCTTGGATGTTGCACGAATCCCCTGCTCGACAAGGGGCGGCGGGTCATCCTAGCGTCGATCGATCAGATCGCACGCTTGCTGCATTCATCCATCCAAACATGTAATCATTCATCTGCTGCTGCTTGCACATGCACCACCTCAACCAGAGACAACCGTGAGTGCGATACGAGCAACCTGAGCGTGAGACCAAATTCCTGTTTGTATGCAGCGGAGATACGCAGTATGACTACATCGTACCGCGTAGCTCTTCGGTAGGCGTACAACGAACAGCCCCAAGCGTCTCCTAGTGCCAGACGCCGCGGAGAGCGAACGCCATCAGCTGCTGGTAGCGTCCGCCGTGCATGGCCCAATTGGCGCCGCTGGAGTCGTGGATGGGGAACCAGACCATTACCATCATCCCACTATTGCTGTCCTATGATGCGCCATGTCTACCCTGTGGCACACATGGCGGGGGCTGTTGCTTCCCGATTGACCAGACTCTGAGATGTCAATTACGTCGTTGTGCTTTCTCTCTCCCGGCTCCCTCCATGTATAAAAACACCCTGTGTCATCTTCAGGAAGCGTCATTACAACAACACACCACACTCCAACAAATCAATCCACTCTTCTACACACCAATTTCACCCCCTCTACCACAAACAATCACACCACTACAACTTCAAAATGGACAAAGCAAAGGCAGCCATCACCGAGTTCATGGGCAGGTCCGGCCACCACGACACCACTGTCCACGAGGCAGTTGCCCCTGCTGTACACCACGAGGTTGTCAAGCCCCATGTACATGAGGAGATCAACACTGCCATTGACAAGGAGGTCCACCAAGATCACTACCACCGCACTGTCCAGCCCATCCACGACCGCGAGGTTCTGCCAGAGACACACACTGCCAAGCTCGGAGCAGTCCAGCACCGCGAGTTCGACCACCGTGACACTGATGCTACCAAGAGGACCCTCATCCAAGATCAGGCTCGCTTTGCCGACGAGAGGCGCATTGAGGACACCACCCACAGCCAGAGCGTTGCTCCCACCGTTGGCGGAGAGCACGTCCACCACGTAAGTACAGCAAAGACATATTCTTTTTGCCTCCAAAGCTAACACACCCAAGCACATCCATGAGACCATCCAGCCCGTAGTCCAGAAGGAGACCATCCAACCCAGCGTTGTTCACACCACTGTTCCTATCCACGAGGTACACCACAACAAGGCCACTCACCATGAGACTACTGCTCTGCCCGCCATGACCATGGAGCAATTCAAGGCCAAGGGTGGATCCCTGACTGGTCGTGAGGAGCGCTACGACGAGTTCGAGGGTGTTCCCAAGAACATTGGTGGCGTCAGCACTCTTGCTGGTGCTGAGGGTCTTCACCACAAGACCACTCACGACCACTCTTCCGCCCGTCACGGCGATCTTCACACTAAGAACCCATTGGACCGCAACAACGATGGCAGAGTTGATGCTCACGACCTGACCAAGGGCGGCTCCCACAACACCAGCTCCGTCGGCACTGGCGCCTACGGAACCACCCACAACCCCATGGACCGCAACAACGATGGCAAAGTTGATGCCCACGACCTGACCAAGAGCGGCTCTCACAGCACCACTGGCACTGGTGCCTACGGAACCACCCACGGAACCACCCACAACCCCATGGACCGCAACAACGACGGCAGGGTCGATGCTCATGATCTATCGGGCAACCGCACTCACGACTTGGATGACACCTCCCGCAGCAGTATGTCTAATGTCCAACTCTTACGCAAGAATTTTACTAACTCTTAACCAGAGCACGAGGGCGCTACAGGTACGCTGGACTCCGCTGGAATGGCGCATGGTGTGAGCGATGGAGGACACATGGCGCATCGTGCCAACGAGGACGGTGGGCTGCCCAGAGCGCTCACCGAAGATGTGTCCAAAGCCCGTCCTCACACCCAAGCCGAAGAGGAACAAGTAAAACTTTTGCAAGAATCCAAAGGCCAACATTTCACAGGTAAACACAAGCCCAGCCTGATGGACAAGCTCAACCCTAGTAAGTGCCAACTACGCTTGTATAAAACGATAGCTGCTAACTCCGTTAACAGAGGTTGACAGTGACGGTGATGGCAAGGCGGGATTCATGAAATAAGTGTAGAGCAGTATGACTTGACGCGATCAGTATGCATGAAAGCGAAATACCAACGAGGCTTTCCTATGACATTGTAATAATAGTAGTTTAGTAATGAACGACATCTACAGAAATAATCATCTGTTGACTTGTGCATTGCGTTGTCCGCATTCTCTAAATTCATAGTAAACCGTTCTGCAGGTGGATTACACTGCTGCACCATCAAACCAACCTTTCAGCTATAGGCACCCACTGGTCTATGGGCTTGTCAGTTGGCACCAACACCACTCTCCCTCCTACCCAGCCACTCATCTGAGAGCTTCCTTCAAGTGCGACCTCGAGCATCTCCACGGATGACAATCCCTTAGCGTCTACTGCAGGACAGTCGTGGCTGCAATACTCAGCACATGCATACTTTACTCGTCACATTTACACTTACTACATCAAACTCAGATGCGGCATGTAGCTTTCATTCGCCCATTGTTCTGCCTTCTTCTCGTCCGAGAATCCTTCGACATGCCGCCTGCATTGCTTGGCCAGCTTCGTCAACCCGTCGTCGACTTGGCATTTAATATACAACTTGCGAAAAAAGTAGTCTTCGCTGTCCAGGTGTTTAAAATTGACTCGCACCTCATTCTCACCCACCCCTAAATCGAGAGAATCCAGCCACGCCTGTCCATCTGAGCCGTGTGTGGATGGCGATATCTCAGAGGTAAGAGTGACGTGGGGGAGGAACCGATGCGGGGAACCAAACTGCTTTGATGTCTTGTCGATCAATGCGGGCAGGACTTTACCAAGAGGATGGTCTGACGGCGGCAATAGCCAAAGTGAGGATCCTGGCATGTTTTCAAAGCAAAAAAATGTTACAGTATTGGTGTTGCAATGTTGGCAGACGGTGGTGTTGTTAAGCTTCAAGACACGCTCCGAATTGAGAGGTGTGGCGTCGTTAGCTGGTGACGCGTCGGCCCGTGACTCCTGCCGGATGGATACGGTTGCGCTGCCGGTACCTGTCGGACGTGGTTGGCATGTGAAAGTCGGCATCCACACCCCACAAGCGTTCCCACTCACTCGACCTGCAACTCGTTCCAATAGACGCAACGAATGAACATGTGCCCTTGTCACATTACGGCCTTGTCAGCCGATCACTTTCTGGAGTAACCCAAAACGCCATGGGCGATGCGCTGAGCGTCGCGTCTGGGGCGCTATGGAGTTTCTTGCTGTGCTTGTTCGACGTAGCTTTCTTTTGGCAGAGGGTACGTCTTCCCCACTGTGTCCGCCATCTCAGCTGTCCGGTTGTCTGAAGCGCTTTCGGGCGTAATGCTGATATGTTGAAGAAACTTTACGCGTGGTTCACACAGAAGAGCCAAAGAGATCTGCTGCTGGAGGCCATTGATAATGCGAAACTATTTGAGGAATGGGAGGCTGCTGCGTACAAGCTTGATGAGGTCCTCGACTATGACCTGTGGTGAGTCCGCTGTCTTGTCCGCAATTGAAAACACGCTTGTGCATTTGACTGACCGTGCCGTTTGCAGGCGACAGGTCGCAAAGAGCAAACACTACGACCATCGCCTCATTAACCAGCGTCTTTCCGCCCTCTACGAAGCCCAAGAAGACGACGATATTCTCGGCGTCATCAACCTTCTCCGCAGCGGCCTCGTGCGAAACCTCGGAAACATAACTGCCTCGCGACTCTACAACCGTGCCTATGCCGGAACGAAACTCTTGATCGAAGACTACGTCACGCAGGTTGCTTATGCAATCGAGAACCTTACACAATATCCTACGTCGAGAAACTCGGACACAGGGTTGACGAACCAGGCCAAGCTAGATGTTCTCCATGATACGAGACAGGCCTTTGGGAGATCGGTCCTGGTGCTTCAAGGCGGACAAGTCTTTGGCCTGTGCCATTTGGGTGTTGTCAAGGCGCTGCATCTGCGTGGTTTACTTCCCCGAATAATTGCCGGGACTGCTACTGGGGCTCTCATAGCGGCCTTGGTAGGTGTGCATACCGAAGATGAATTGCTCGAGTTCCTGACGGGGAGGAACATTGATTTGACAGCCTTCTCAAACCGGCCATATAGGAATGGCGCTCAAGTCACCACGCGGCTCCAGACCATGATACGCCGTGTCAAGAGATGGTGGAACCAAGGCCATTTCCTCGATGTCGGCGTACTCGAACAGCTCTTGAGGGCTAATGTTGGGGACCTGACCTTTGAAGAAGCATACGCTAAAACAAAGAGGGTGTTAAACATTACAGTCACAACTAGTAGTGGTGGCAGCGTGCCAAATCTACTCAACTACCTGACTGCTCCCAACGTCGTACGTCTACCCATCCCTCTTTGATGGAACAAATACTAACAACTGCAGCTCATCTGGTCCGCAGCTCTGGCCTCCAACGCGACGGCCTCGTCGGCACTCTTCCATTCGGTTACGATGATGTGCAAAGACGAAGAAGGCAACATTGTTCCTTGGACTCCAGCATCCAACACTACGTTCCGTCCCTACACACACGCGTCCTACCGTGATCGCGAGTCGCCTCTGCATCGTATCGGCGAGCTCTTCAACGTGAACCACTTTATTGTCTCCCAGGCACGGCCTTATCTTGCGCCCTTTTTGCGTTCTGACCTGCACCACCCCAACCCCAAACAGGACGGCAGATTGCGACTTAGTATGCCGATTCTTCGTCTTGTGGTCCTGGAAGTACAGCACAGGTTGCAACAGCTGGATGAGCTTGGTTTACTTCCTCTGTCAATCCGGCGGTTTCTGCTTGATGAAAACATTCCTGGCCCTAGTCTCACACTGGTACCCGAATTCACTCCCGGCGATTTCTTCAAGTTGTTGGAAAACCCGACAAGGGAAGCGATGGATTACTGGATATTGAAGGGTGAGAGAAGTGTGTGGCCAGCAGTCACAGCATTGAAGATTAGGTGTGCTATTGAAGTAGAACTTGATCGAGGATATCAGCTCGTCAGGCGCAGGAAGCCTTTTGACTTTGCGACTTCTGGGGGTATAACAGGAGGAGATAACGGTGGACCGTTGAGGAAAAATGGAAGCAGGGGTGAGGTGCAGTCCATCTATGGATGGGACGGTGATGCTAGGAGTGCTGAGCTGAGACAAAGGCCTACGAGAGCGGCCAGTTTTGCAGGTGGCATTCCCTAAATATTTACTTTGTTCTAAAACTACTTCATTCTGCGCGTACTGCGATTAATCATTTAGGTATAGCCATTTTGGGGTACAACCTCAAGTCCTCTAGCCATGAGCGTATGGGGGCTGGTTTTTGCATTCCATAATTACATAGTTAACTTTAAAACTTGAATTTGGTTCATGAATTACATGAATGAATAACGTTACTGTGCGTAATGTCACTCACCCGCTGTGAGGATGACTTCCCCACGCATCGAAAGCCCAGCAGCACGTCATTCACGCTAGAGGGATCCAATGTTTCTACTGGGACCAAAGATATTCGTTGAGAAAATCTGATCAGCCGTGTACCCGCGGATTGACACTCTAAAAAAACACACCGGTCGCACTCACCCAAACAATTTGAGCAATCAATCCAAAAACTCCTTACCTTTTCCTCAACGTCCCAAGATTCTGACTTTGTCGCGACATCATCTACAATGGCGACGTGAGCTCCCCCCTCCCCCACCATATCAGTACCCCGCGCCATACAAAAAAGTTACGCACCGACATCGCTAACCCGCTTTCTCACAGCAACATCACATGGCACCCATCCCTCTCGCGCAGCGAGCGCAACAAATTCCGCAAGCAAACCGGCTTCACAATCTGGTTCACGGGTCTCTCCGCATCCGGTAAATCCACCATCGCCACAGCGCTCGAGCAGCACCTTCTGCACTTGGGTTTCGCGGCGTACCGTCTCGACGGCGACAATGTGCGATTCGGATTGAATAAGGATCTGGGGTTTTCGGAGAAGGATCGCAATGAGAATATCAGGCGGATAGCTGAGGTGTGTATTTGCGCAATCTTCTACCCCTCCCCCCCAAAACCGTTCAGCTATTACTACGGAAAGAATTGAATGGATGGGAGTTATGGCTAACGCAATAATATAACAGGTAGCAAAGCTCTTCGCAGACTCCTCCACAATCGCCATAACATCCTTCATTTCCCCTTACAAAGCCGATCGCGAGCAAGCCCGCGCCCTGCACGCTGCCACCTCCGATGCTTCGGAGTCGCCTCTCGCTTTTGTTGAGGTCTACGTCGACATCCCGCTTGAAGTCGCGGAGGCGCGCGACCCCAAGGGCCTGTACAAGAAAGCACGCGAAGGCAAGATTCCAGAGTTTACGGGCGTGAGTGCGCCGTATGAGGCGCCTGAGAAGCCGGAGATTCATATCAGGAGTGATAAGAAGAGTGTCGAGGAGAGTGTGGTGGAGATTGTAGAGTATTTGAAGGCGAAGGGGTTGTTGGATGTGATGCAGTAAGGGTATGCGCTGGGGAATGGATCTTGGTATATGAGAGATGTGGAACTTTTTTTTTTCTGAGGGTTGAATATAAGTAAGAGATAACTATACTTTGAGAGATATGGATGATTGCAATGAAAGATATGCGATTTCCCCTCGTACACACACAATTCGAATCTACATGCCCTCATACCTACATACTCTTTTTCTTCTTCTTCGTCCTCGAGAAAAAAAACTCCGTTTACCTTTTATTCAACTCAACAATACTCAAGACCTACACAACTCGAACCTAGAAACAGAAGGTACATGCCGACCCCCCCCCCCCCCCCAGCATCTCTAACCCTCACAGATCTGATCCCAACTCTCACAAACCCGTCCCCAGCGTTCTCCCGTTTCCGCCCTTACCCTGCTATGCTACATCTACACATACCTTATCACAAACCTTACTCCTCTTTTGCTCCCTACACAACCCTCCCACTTCTCTTCGCACCTAGATGTAAGCCCAAGTACTTATCCACACACACACACACCCTCGCTTACAAGGTTTAGAGTAGTACCGTCCAACGCCCGCCCAGGAACGACCGGATGATTTGTTGGGAGAAGGGGGGGATATATCCGCGCGTTCCTCTTGTATATGTTTACATCATTATTCGCCACGACACGGTGCTTGGTTTACTCCTGGTTACCCTGTTTGTTATTGGGGGGTTGGTTGGTAAGACAAGGAAGGGGGAGGATTATTGGGATGTGTGCTTGCTGGGCTGTTGTTGGCTCTGGTGCTGGGCAACGTGGGAAATGGTGCGGCTTGGAGGGTGTATACCTTGGGCTTGTTTGTGAATTTCCCGGTTTGGGGTTGTTTAATGGTTGGTTGATGTAGGAGTGGGGAGTGGTTTCTTGTGTATTCTACACTACTACGTATAAGATGTAACAGGGAGCGTGCTTATTGCTTTAGTTTGTAAGGTGTGATGGTTTAGTGTGCTTTGTGACAGGACGTAGCGCGAGTCTCGGGATTAAGTATTTTATGTGTTGTAGATAACTTTGAGCATCGTGTAAGACAAAGTTGATTGTGCTCGTTTCTTCTTGTGGTTGGAAACAGCAGAAGCAAAACCCTTCTATAAACTACTCTCTCGAATGAACCCTCAAAAAAGTGGTATGCATCGTTCTGCTTTTAGCGAACTTTTTTATTCTCTTAAGTATTCTTCTTGCTCGGCGCATTCCAAATGCCGAGGACTTTTTCCGGTGTTCGTAATGCCTAGTGAGGCTGGTATGGGGATGAACCTAGGAAAGGAAAAACTGTAACAACAAGAAAATACGAAGTCTCGTATAATACATCGAACCATAGATGTGCGCTGATACGATGGGAGGTTTTTCGGTGTGACCTACAGTTTCATGCGCAGGAAAGAGAGACAAAAACGTCGTCAACGGCCCCCTTGCATGGATTGTAGTAGCATCAAGACAAATCACCTTGGATGAGTGGACATTTCAGCTGCAATAGCAAATCGGAGTATTAAACGGCTGCGGTTCCGATGGCTTGCTTGTCGCCATGAAAAGAGCGGGGGCTGTGGCGCAACTTGATACACAGACGAAGTAACGTCTACTTGTCACGTTTCCTGGGGGGGAGAGAGGTCTGGATCGCCAGACAACAAGGGCATGATTTGCGATGCGGCGCAGTGCTCTAGCCAGTCGCGGTCGGGGAAAGGGGAATGGCGCCGCAAACCACAAGCAGTTGCGTACGTAACAAGCATCTCCAACTATCGACCGAATGAAGAGAGCAGAGTGGACATACCCAGTGCATAAGAGCGACGTATTAAGATCGCCAAATATATTGGCAGGCGATAGTTCTGAAGACCAAGACAAACAACCGTTTGTTTGCATCCGGAACTTACTTTCCTCATTTGATCTGTTATCGTTGAAAACTTCATATGTGTATAGTGGTATTATCTCCGAAAAGGATGATATGAGAGGGGACCTTGCCCGGTCGGAGCGATAAAGTAAAACAAACCAGAACCAGGTACGTAGCTGAGCGATGAATGATAGGGGACTTCGCAAATTAGCCAAACTGCCGAATTGTATTGTGCGCAACGTGTTTCGCAAAACAAAGGACAGGCAAAGACCTTGCTTGCGTCTCGGCCATAGACCTGTCTTGGATAGCGGATTACTCTGTAGCGGCCTGTAAGATATTGAGGCAGACCATGAAGAAAGAATGCAGGCGTATGGATGCCTGTGACAGAGAAGAAAGCCGAGTAGGATTTGTTGCACCAACTCAGTACGCGAAGGGATAAACCTTGTTTGTTTTGGCGACTTCCCTCCTGATAGCCTGCAACCCCCCCCCCCCCCCCACACACAGCCTGTTCTTGATCCGCCTCGCACGTTCAATAGTCATGACTTTTTGTCTGCTCTTCCGTGCGCCGCGACTAGGGTGGCAAATCCATCCATCGGTGCAGGTAAGTCATGTACTCAATTGTCTGACATAGATTAAGGGTTTTGGAGAGTCAGTTGGGATTTATTGCCTCTGAGACAGAGTCTGGGGGTATAAGGAAAAGTGGGGCGCGCGTAGTACGCTTGCGGCAACCAGGAGGCCCTGGGTCGGTACCGGCACGTCCGCCTCCCCGCCAGAGACGGACAAGAAAAGGGTAAGGAGACGGGCGCTGGACGCTTGGAGATGGGCTTGCATGAGCACACGTCACAAAGACGGAATTAGGGAAGAAAAGAGATGCTTATGCATGGAGAAAGAGAATTACAGCATGGCGAAAAAGCAATAAGGTACAGCATAGTCGAAACGTCGGGGCCGTTGGGTGTGACGCCCTTGCAATGTGACGTGACGGGGCGGGAGGCAAGTCCGCGTGTTGAGAGTCGTGCGTGGCTAGTAAGAAAAAAGCAACCAAGCGGACGCCTGGGCCGCGATTGTAGTCCAGCAGTGGGGTATCCTGAACAGCACGCCGTGATGCAAGGTAGACCCTAGTCAGGTGCGGGTGGGTTGTTTTTTTTGGAGATTGTAGGTGTGCGCCGAATGCGCATAATGGACTTGATCCATGAGGGCGTGGACATGTCAACTCAACCATGATGAGCAAAAAAAAGAACATCTTGTTTCTTCATGCCAGACCTTGACTGATGATTGCAGCGGGGATCAGACGCTTCCACAATGTAACGAGTGACTTTTGTTTTAACCAAGCGTGGATATGATTGGATCATTTACAATCACAAGCGTCCGCCGAGATCTTGCTTGAGCACATCCAGGATCTTCTTGCTGTCAACTTCCTCCTCAGCATTACCTATTCCATTCTTGGCTATCCCATCCTCGCCTTCCTTCAATCTCTTTAAAATCTCAGGATCAAGTTCTCCCATCAACTCGTCAAACTCCTTTTGTTGCTCACCTTCCAGCTTGGCGTACTCTTCCTCTAGCATAAACTCTTGTTTGGGTAACTCATCCATATCTGCAGGAAACACATGTATAGTTGGGAACTCGAGAATGGTCTGGCCATGTAGGCTTTCAGCGAGTGTACACGAGTAATCAAGTGGTATGAGTACGTGGCGGCTCGTGCTCGTGCGAGGTTTTAGTAGAAAAAACCTGGGCTGCCCGCTACGACCCATGGTATGGGTGCTTGGCTCATCATGATCATTATCGCTAGGGTGTCCGTCTGCCACGTCCGCTTCTCTTTTGAACGTTTGTCCTTTTTCTGACCGAGGAGGGGTTGCTCCTCCTCGGACAGACGACGACTGTGCGTCGCTGATCGGAACGTCCACGTGGATCTGTTGGAGTGGCTGGTCTTGATCCTCTGCAACAGGCGCGACATGTTGCTGTGGATGGGTTGATTCAAGAATGGTAGTAGCAGGAGTTTCAGTGTTGAGCTTCCGTTTCTTGCTTTTGCTATTAACGCCATAGTGGGCAAAGGGCTGGGCATCTTTTATCTGTTGTACCGACGAGGTCTGAGTAAGCACACGCGTCTTGGACGCATCATCTATCCACTCAACTGTCCATACGATATTGCGAGAAACTTTTCTGGGGATACAGATCAGTAGTGTTGTGGACATGTTGGGTTTAACCGGGGCGACTAACTTTGTGGCCGACATGTGCGACTTGTTCTCCCTTTGTCTGCTCAAACCCTGGGGCGCTCGGATGATATTGACAGCAGCAGCAGCCTCGAGTTTAGCATAGGGCACACCAGCGCGCTGGCGATTTGACAGACCCTCGGAGGGGGCGGCAGCAGAGGCATGGGCGGCAACCTTGTCAGCTCTGTCGAGATCCCGCTCTATTCCGGAGAGGAAGTTGAAGTCATGGTCAATGCCGGCAGGTGTTAGCAGCTGTGACTTTTTCACAAATTTGGTGGGATCACGTTTGCCGGAGCACTGGGCCCATTGCTGGTGTCGCTTGTAGCACGGCAGTGAGCAAGTGCGCGCACTGCAACCAGGGCAGCGGTATTTGAACTGTGTGGTATTGCTACAGGGAAAGGGTCAGCAGTGAATTACCAAGGCCGGCCGTGCATGGCGGGCGACTGTGACGGGAACAAAGTGCAGCGGTGATTGGGGCGGGTGGCCAAGCATTCTAGAGCGTTTCCCGTTGAGCATCATCAGCGCTATCGGGGGGAGTGAATTATCACAACGTACCAAACGCTGCACAGCTCGTTGAGCAGCGGTGCACTCGAGGTGTTGTCCATTTCTGGGGGGGGAAGGGATTACAAGCAATGGCAGGCGGCGGAAGGGAGCAGGGAAGGTGTGGCGGGAGGGCTCCGGTGGCGTGCTGAGAGGATGGACCGTGATGCCGTGATGCAAACGCAGAGACGCGCAGAGCACGCGGAAGTCGCGATACGGGCAGCGATGGTGCCAAGGCCAGATGGAAAAGCAGCCAATGGGAGGTGGGCGATGGGGGCAGGTCACAATTTTACACGTCTGCTACTGCGAGTAGTTGAAGGACGACGATGCGACGGGTCCATGGAGGCGTCGATGGGCGCAGATTAGCGTAGGCCGACAGAGTTTGCATCTTGGGCCAAGGGAACTGCGGCGGGAGACTTGCAATCTAGCGCAGCGCAACAGCTTCCTCGATTACGTATCTATCACGAGGCGATACGTGGACAGGCTATAGCAGTAGGGAAGGATATTGTGCGCAGAAATGGTCGCCTGGGCCGAACTATAGGGATGCGGACCAGGAACCCTCTTGCTGGCGCATCTGCGTCGGAGCATTCCCCACGCCTGCGCCCAATACTTGGGCTGCCAGGCCCACCTGGCTGCTGATCATACATGGCATGCAGCTGCGACGACCAGCACCGCGACAATGCGATACTGCGATACGGCGACGGCGACGGCGACTTTCATGCGCTGCACTGCACTACACTGTTCTGATGTGCTCTGCTCTGCTCTGGCGGTCTGCTGGTTGTCGATGGACGGCCGAGGGCCAGCGTTTCAGTGAGGGCGCAGATCGAGGCCGGCTTACACCAACGAGAGCAGCAACAGCGCTGGTGCACAAAAGGCGTGTCGACGGCGGGCTTGGATCGGAGTGTGGAGCCGATGCAGATGCAATGCGTGCGTAAAGGACCGGCAGGGCGCCATTGTTATGTAGTAGGTGGATGGTATCAACAACAGTGTACACCGTGAGTAAGCATGCCGGCCTATACACCCACTGGGGCAGCAGGTAACCAGCCATAGCAGCAGCCATTAATACACAAGCAAATCCAGCCAGCACGTCAAGGGGCATGGACAGGCTGCAGGTGCGGGAACAGGGCTCATGCACGCCACCCAGACGTGTGCACACTGCAGCTGTCTGCGCCTGTCGTGCACAAGGACGCACGCCTGATTCGAATCTGGCCCAAATCGGCATCCAGCACAAGGCCGCTTCAACACTGCACACTACTCTTGCCACCATCCGACCCTTTGCTGCTGCCATCCCTGGACGGCCCGAGTCACGGCGGGCACCACTCCGAAGAAGGATGTGGGCGGCCAAGAGGGCGCCGCAATGCTGCTCCACGTCCTCGCTGTCCGTCCTGTCCTGCCCACTGCGCCCCAACCACCACCACCGCCCTCGCCCTCATCAACACCACGATAATGCTCTAGTGTGTACAATGCTCTTGTGCAGCCCAGCGTCAAGATTGGATGGCGGCCCTTGCACCCGTTGCCGCCGGCGTCTCTCGTGAAAACAGGCCAGCCGTTAATCCCACGACCTCCCGCCCCTGACAGCAAGCTGGCCCGTGCCCCCAGAGCGGCCCTGCGCCAGGCAGGGATTAAGCTTCTTTCATTTCCTCTAACCGACGCTTGCGAGAGCCACCCATGTCTAGTTCTCGCGTCCCTCCTACCCCCAGCATCCAGTCCGCGCGCCTTGCCAGGCCGTCCCCAAAAGCCATGTTTCCCCCTGGCTGCCACCCTCCTCTACTACCCGCAGCAAGCTGGTTTTGAGCTCACAATCCATCGGTCGCGTAAAGCTGCTCCACGCCTCCGCCCTCGCTCACTCAACCCAGTCTCTCGTCTTCGCCCGGCTTGCTACTGCTGCTCTGCGGTTTCAACTGGCACAATCTCCCCAATGTGTTCATCCTAGTCCTTCACTGTCATTATAGTACTACTACTACTACACTGGTCCCCATCTGCAACCACTCCCTCCTTCTCCCTCTTCACTGTCCCACGCCCAACTCGATAGGACCCAACTTCACCTTCTCGCAATGGCTCCCTCTCTGAGCCTGCGCCCTCGCACCGGCGCCAGCGAGCGTCCCCCAACCAGAGACAATGCCGACCACAGCCTCATCATCCCCAGCCGGACTTCGTCTCTCCACTCGAGAATCACCCAGCCCCTCCCCTCCACCTTGAACGTCAAGCAGGGCGCCAGAAGCCCCAAGACGCTCACCCATGCCTACATGGTTTGTGGTGTTGGCCGAGAGCCCTCGCAATGGGTCAAGGCTCCCGCTCCCGCTCAGGGCAAGATTGGCCACATGAAGGGTGCCGTCGGAACTTTCTGGCTGCCCGAGATCTTGGGAAGCAGCCCCAGGCTCGAGCAGGATAATGAGATTGCCAGGTCTCTGCACTCTGCCATGAGGGTATGTTTGCAAATGCCTCATGATACCCCCCCGTTGTCAATTCAGTCTGCTAATTCACATCGCAGGCATGCTTCCCTCACGATGTCGAGATTTGCACTGGCAGAAGCCAGCCCCACTGCGTACACCACTCGTTCGTTCTGCAGCAGGATTCCTCTCACACTCTGTATGGTATTGCGCTCCGTGTCTGGTCGCGCGCCGACGAGAAGAGGGCCGAGACTATTCGCGACCTGCGAAAGCGAATCGAGCCCGACTTCTACGACAACCCAGAGGAGACTTACTGGATCCCCTACTGCCTTAGCTTCCTCTCTCGCTATCCCCTGTACAACTTGCTCGGCGACTACCTCCGTGGTATGTGGATTCACTGGAACAAGGCCACCAACCTGTTCCACGCTGAGGAGGTATCTCGCATCCTCAGTTTCCCCGCACCACGCCTGAACGACTTGGTCCGCATCGACATGAAGGACTATGCTCTGTGCTACCAATTCCCCTCCTCGCCCACCGGCTTCCAGAACTTTGCCATGTGGCCCCTCTTTACCTGCTTGTCAATTCCCAACATTGTGGGTGTCATCGAGGCTGCCCTGTCACCAACCCGACGCATCATCTTCACGAGCCACTACCCCGCCATGCTCACTGTCGCATCCGAGACCGTGCGCTTTTGCGTAAGGGTGTACGAATGGAGCGGTCTCTATGTGCCCGTAGTTCATGCGCGTCACGTCAAGGATCTGGTCCAGGAGCCGGGTCCGTACATTCTTGGTGTCACCTCGGAATGTCGTTCGCTCTTCACGGCCCCAACCGATGCTCTGGTTGTCGATCTAGACCGTAACTTTGTGCTTACATCAAGTCCCCCAACTGCTCTTTCGGCTGGCCAGAGGACCAAGATGATTACTCGCCTGACCCAGGCTCTCAATGGCGAAGTCGCACCAACAGGTGTACCACAGCATCTGCGGTCAGCCTACGGTGGTGGCAAGCTCATTCCCGCTGGCCAGATTATCGTCATGCGTGGCGAGGTTGAGAGCATCCAAGACCCCGACTGGTGGTCTCAGGATTCTGTCATGTCCGTCATGGACCACGTTTGTGAGAAGCTTGTAAGTACCAAACCATTCAATGCCGTCTCACCTGCATCTAATATTTCATTTAGGGCCGAAACACTGGAGTCAAGGCAATCTTTGGCGGTTCCGTCAAGAAGCCACTCATGACCAAGGTTTCTATGCGTCACCTGAACGAGATTGTGCGCGAGCGCAACCAATACTCACGTGACGCTCAAGAGGCTTGGACCGACTTTATCAACCTCAAGCAGCGCATGGACAGCGAGCTGGGCAAGGTCACCAAGCGAAACAACTTCTTGGTCGAGGAGCTTGAGAGCTGGAAGCAGCAATTCCTCAAGTTCCAGGCTTTCGCTGAGCAGCTTACCAAGGAGACCCAGGATCTCAAGGTCAAGATTGAGAACCACAAGCGTGAGAACCGCCGTCTCAGCAGCCTCATTGATCAGCAAAAGGACGATGCTGCCAGACTCACTGTCCGCCTCTCTGGCACTGAGAAGCAGCGCGACGATGCTCTCGAGGCTCTCGTTCTCCAGCAGGAGATCGCCGAGGAGCTCGAGCGTGAGAGGAAGAAGAACAAGAAGGAGCTCAGCGCTCTTCAGCACACCAACTCTGCTATCCTCCGCCAGCGCGACGAGGCACAACGCGTTGTGCTTCACCTCCGTGCTCTCATCGAGGGCCAGACCCACCACATGGAACACATTGTCAAGTCCCTCAACCAGGACGACATGTCAAACTACATCGAGGCTGGCTTCGATGATGTACCTGAAGAGGACGAGGAGGACCATTTCCAGGATGCCGAGACCAAGTCTCAGGCAACTACCCACCGTTCTATCAAGGACAAGTCTGAGGTTGGTACCATTCGTGGTGTAGCTGGTGTCGACAGCCGCCAGGAGTCAAGAGCAAGCACTGCTCAAGGCAAGCACCTTGAGGGCGAGGATGTCTCACCAGACATGGAGCACCGTCTCTTCAACAGCCCTGCACGCAACTCCAAGCGCTTCTCGAACCAGTCCATGGTCGATGTTGCTGACCGTGTCCTCCGAGACAAGACTGATGCTATCGCATATATTATCCGCAACATTTCCGAGCAATGCGCCGCAGCTGTAGAGGGTCTTCAACTCGCCCAGCGCGCTGACATCGAGGAAGACAACCACAGTGATCGTCGCAGCAGCGTCGGACAAATGTCGCACGGCGGCCGTACCCAATCCACCATTGGCAGCGAGTATGGTGATGAGGAGAGCATGCTCCGCCCCGGTCGCGGATCAAGCATTCCCCCCACCCCAGACCTAAGCCACAGGTCCAGCACTTCCATGTCCATGGCCAGCGCCAGCACAACGCCAGACCGGTCAAGCCTACAGCACCGATCTCACGACGTGCCTGTTGTGCCAACACGCATCTTGGAAGACGATGACGATGTCGAAGGCAACGGCAACAACGACCTCCATTCTGACATGGTACCCGTCTCCAAGTACGCACAGCCGCTTGGAAGGCCCAGCGGTAGCATGCGTCACATGTCGTCGCGTTAAGTGAAAAGCGTGCAAGAGATGAGGACTCTCTTGGTGTTTTGAATACTTGTTATTTTTCCTTGTTTTTGAACAATCTTGATTTATCATTAGCGATCGAGACGAGATTAGCATTGATGCCCTTTTCCTAACCTTGAACTGGCGTTGGCGTCCTTTTCCTTTCTACTTTCTCCATGGATGGAGGCCTAGTGCCTTCACATCTCAAAGTTATTTCATTCTCCTTTTGCATCTTCTCTCGTTACTATCTTTGAGAGAAGCTTTTTTTCGCCATCTTAACGAACCCGGAATGGGGACTTATTCCTTATGTACGTTTTTTTATATTGCGATGAGTGAGATAGCTGAATCACTCGTTATTTTTTTAAACTCTATTTCTCTCATACCCTTCGGCGAAGAAGAGAGGAGGGAAAGAGGAGAGCAAAACTCCCAGGGAGGAAATCAGGTTAAAGGTGGTAGGAATGGGGTGTTGGGCTAGAAAAGAGGGAAAGGATGGTGATGGGGGCATAAGGAAAGAAGGGAGCAGGGTCCCATCTTGTACAAGGCGGAAAACTGGTCTGCAATAGTCAGTCAGTTGCCTTGGCCCACACCTTTTTGGGTTTTTTCTCATCACTGGCTTTGGATGAGCTAGTGTTTTGAGATTTTGTGGGGTGGTGGTCGTCTGACCTTGTGTATCTTCTCTTTCTATTTTCCTTTTACCTCACTCCCTTGTTTGTCGTGTGGTGGTCGTCGTGGTCGTCGTGGTTGGCTGTGTTGCTAGGAATAACATACCACCTTTTTTCCTTGTGTTCTTTCAATTGCACCTATTTTGATGTGTTTGTGTCTCTCCTTTCTTTTCTGTCACTGAGTGAGGTGAATATACATATATATATATCTCATCCTGGTTCTCTTTTTTTTTTAATACCATTAGTAATTAATACCCTTTTGTAGATTTTTTGGACAAAAAGTTTTGCTTCACATATTTCGTTTTATGTCGATTAGATTATATCACTTGTAGGATAGACTAGAAGAAAGCGGGGCTTGGATATGAATACTAGACCTTTCTATCTGAATGAACAGGATCTCACGGCAAAAAAAATCAATATCAAAGGGACTGTGCTTGTCTATTGCACTGTTGCGGTACGGGCAGTTTTTATCCGGCTGTTTGCTTCTCGCTTCACCGGAAGGTGGGGGTTACGGGGCTGAGCCAGCGCCTGTGTACTTCGTGCTTCAAAAGCCTGCCCTCATAGCCTGCTGCTAGCATCATCACCTCCGCACTGCCTTGACTATATTTTCTCGTGCTACAGTTATGCGACTTCTTCACTTTGATCAGTTTGGCCGACTCCTCTTAACAGACTTTCACGGGAAGCCTGTCCCACCATATGCTATTCTTTCACACAGATGGGAGGAATCAGAAATTCTCTTTGAAGACATAGCTAGCGAGACTTACAAAGAGAAGAAGGTCAGCTATCGCAAGCTTCTGTTCTGCGCTAAACAGGCGGCCCAAGACCAGCTCCAGTACTTCTGGATTGACACGTGCTGCATCAAAAAATGGGACAGGCTTGAGCTCTCGCGAGCGATCAACTCAATGTTTCGCTGGTACAGAAAAGCAACTAAATGCTATGTGTTTTTATCGGATGTGCCCAATACAACGGACACAGTACAGAGCACCAACTGGGAGGCATCCTTCCGGGCAAGCGCGTGGTTCACTCGAGGCTGGACACTCCAAGAGCTGATTGCGCCAGCATCGGTGGAATTTTTCTCCTGCAAGGAACAGAGGCTAGGGGATAAGAGTTCCCTAGAACAACTAGTGCATGGAATTACTAAGATTCCGCTCGCAGCACTGCGGAATCATCCCTTAGACAAATTCTCTCTACACGAGCGAATGCATTGGGCCGACAATCGCGTCACCACTGAACAGGAAGACATTGTGTACTGCCTTTTTGGACTTCTAGGTGTAACCATGCAGATTAACTATGGCGAAGGGAAGGAAAAAGCATGGAGAAGACTTCAAACAGAAGTCGAGGCAACTAACAGAACACCTTCCATCATTCCATTTTCCCGCAACGAGCATTTTGTCGGACGAGAGTCTCAGCTTGCCGCTCTACAGGCAAATTTGGTCAGCAACGACCATACTACTACGACAACTAGATTGGCTATAGTAGGACCTGGCGGAACAGGCAAATCGCAGCTGGCGCTAGAGCTTGCATACAGAGTAAGAGAGGAGATCAAGACTTGCTCAGTGTTTTGGTTGGATGCAAGCAACATGGAAAGTCTTGAACGTTCGTACTACAGCATTGCCCAGAGGCTCAATATTCCTGGATGGGATGACGAAAAGGCAGATGCAAAGCAGCTTGTAAAACTTCATCTCGAAAAAGAGGATACAGCACATTGCTTGCTGATCTTTGACAACCTAGAAGACATCACGCTACGAGCTGGTGAGATTTTGTCAGCAGGGGGGGTAGGTTTGACTGCCTACCTACCTCAATCCACGCGATGCTCTGTCGTGTTTACAACAACTGAAATCAGCCTAGCTGAGCAAATGGCATCACAAGCGCTTATAGAGCTACAGGAGCTGACACCAGACTCCGCCAAGGAGATGTTGAAGAACTACTTGAACAGAGACAAAAATTTCGATTCAACCGAGGAGCAGCAAGCGAGGATTTTGCTGCAAGAGCTTTCACATCTTCCGCTAGCGATTATCCAAGCAGCAGCTTATATCAATGTCACGGCTGTATCACTTGAGGGTTACCAATCAAAATTGAAGACACAAAACGACTACGATGTCAAACTAGATAGTAGTCCATCAAGGGAAAGACCACAGAGGTTGGGAGCAAAGGATCCTGTGGCCACCACGCTATTCATCTCCCTCGATGAGATCCGCCGTAGTCATGCGCTTGCAGCGGAATATGTGTTACTTGCGGCCTGTGTAGCCTCCAAGGATATCCCGTTTGAACTCTTCGAAAACGAAAACATTCGAGAAAGAGAAAATGCTATACAGGTACTCAGTAAATACAGGCTAGTCACTCGGCGGCCCGAAGATTCTGCACTGGACTTGCACCGACTGGTTCATTGTGCATTGCAGAAATGGCTTCAGCAGCACAATCAGTTTCAGGAGCAGATCGAAAATGCCATCACAAAGCTACTTCGGATCTTCCCAGACCACAACCATCAGAACAGGAGTAAGTGGAGACGATTGTTTCCGCATACCAAGTACGTTCTATCATACAGGTCTCCTGGAGTAGAGGATGGCAAACAGTCAGATCTGATATGGAAATACGCAAGAGCATTGGATAGTGACGGACATTATAATGAAGTGGAAGAGCTGTTGACACGATTGATGGGGACGAGAAAGAGGGTACTCGGGGACGAGCATCCTGATACGCTGACCTGCATAGCGAGCCTAGCAACAACGTATAGAAATCAAGACCGGTGGAAGGAGGCTGAAGATCTAGAGGTGCAAGTACTAGAGATAAGCAAGAGAGTACTTGGGGACGAGCATCCTAACACGCTAATTAACATATCAAACCTAGCGTCGACGTATTATGAACAAGGGCGGTGGAAGGAGGCTGAAGAGCTACAGACACAAGTACTAGAGATAAGGAAGAGAATACTTGGGGACGAGGATCCTTATACGTTGACTGACATGTCAAACCTCGCGACAATATATTCTGAGCAAGGGCGGTGGAAAGAGGCTGAAGAGCTACTTCTACGGGTAATAGAGATGGAAAAGAGAGTACTTCCGGACGACTATCCTAAAATACTAATTACTCTTACGAATCTAGCGATGACGTATACGGAGCAAGAGCGGTGGAACGAGGCACAAGAGATACAGCTGCAGGTATTCGAGGTAGGAAAGAGGATACTCGGGAACGAGCATCCCCTCACACTAGTTGGCATGAGTAATCTTGCCTTTACTCTCAAGCATCAAGGACGGGCCCGAGAGGCTTTGTCTCTTATACAGAGATGTTGCCAACTGTACGAACGAGTCCTTGGTGCAAATCATCCGAGTACAAAAAGGGAATTTCGTTGGTTAGATAGGTGGCGGGCAGAGAGTGAAGAGGAGCACGTTTAGTTTTTACTATTTGCCTTTCCTTTTTGTTCTAGCCTACGAAAAATCATAATGTATAATAAATCTACTACCCTAGACGAGAATACCGACATAAAACAATCGAAGCAGTATAGTGCTTGCACGGACTCGCATATAAGTGTCTTTCTTTCCAGGAGCTCGGATAAGTTTATACTTTGACGGATATCCCCATAGGGGTAAGAGAAAGAAGAAGAAAAAAAGGTTATATCTCTTAATGTATATTTTGTGGGATACTCCCCTCCTCCCCCCCCCCCCCCCAAAAAAAAAAAGAGCAATCCAAACC